CAGCACCAGCAGTGGAAGGAGCACTGCTCCAGGCGCTGCAGGGGCACCGGGAGGCACGGACATGTCCTTGTCCGCCTCGTGGCCAGCCTGCTCCAGGCATCCCGCAGAGTGCCCGTCTCTGGGTGTGTGGATGAACAAAGTTAGTTATCTGCGGGCAACACCCATCAGAGATGCCTGGTTTGGGGATGATGTCACCCCAGGCCAGGAGATCCCCTGCCACTCATCCTCCCTCACCTACCAGGCAAACAGGTTTACCGAAATCCCAGCCCTTTTCCTTGGAAGTGCATTCCCCTGAGTCAGGGATGAGGAGCTCCTCAGCAGACGGGGCGGCCCCACTCTGTGATGCTGCAGGGGTAGCCCTACACCCCAAATCACCCTAAAATCATCACCCTCCTACAGCCTGTAGCCCTACACCCTCTCACCTGGCTCAGACAGAGCAGAGGCTTCCTGAAACTCCCAGAGCCTCACCTGCCAGCTGACTCCCCAGCAGGGAATGCTGCGTGGCCAAGCAGCCATGGGCACCCCAGGAGGATGGCAGGGAGAGCAATGTCCCAACGAACCCACAAAGCCAGGAAATGCCCTGGGACAGGAAAGGGGTACAGCCCCGCTCACATTGTTGTATGGCTGAGCCTCCAAGGGGCTGCAGCAGCCCCACAGCTCTGTATTTCCATGGCACACATGGGATCTGGCAGAAGCGGACTGGAGCCAGTTCATGACATGCTCCAAGGGTGACTTTGGGTGGTTTCCAAAGACTCTTTGCCTGTAGGTCCCACAGCATCACCTGGAGCAGATGAGCATCTCAGGGCTCTGGGACAGCCTGGCACTGGATCCAGCCACGTCCATGGTCCTTCTCCCCACAGTGGGGTCAGTCTGGAGCTGACTGAGGTGAGGAAGGGGCCACCATGGGTGTACAGGGTCTGTGACCCTCGTCCAACAGTGCACCATGAGAGGGCTCATGAATGCCACACCAGACCAAGTCGATGGGCTTATACAAGCAGGGATTGATCAATCACTGCTGCAGGCAGAGGCCCACTGTGTTGGGGTTCCTGGATCCTGCCCCGCCGTTCCCGTGGTGCTGGGAACAGCTGCCCCCCCTGAGCTGATGGAAAATCCGATGAGCTCATGATGAGCACGGCACCCAGCCCTGGCTGCTGCATGCCCCAGCACTGCCTGTGCTCCTCAGCCCTGCAGCATGGGATGCAACACTGTCATGGCTCTGTTGGGCCAGTCTGGGTAGAGGGCTGCACCCTCAGGCCCAAAACCTGGCCCTGATACCGCCTGTAGGGACCCAAAGGGAGCAGCACCCCAAAGTCAAAGGATAACTCCAGCCACAGCTCAGCCCTGCCAGCAGGAACTGACACTGTGCAAGTCTGGGAGCAAACAGGGATAAGGATGGCAAACAAACCCTGCCAACACTTCTGAGCAAAGTACTGTGTGGGACACCCCATCCCACCCATTTCCACCTGCTCCCTATCCCTCTGCTCCCACCCCTCTCCTCAGCCCCAGGACTTTGCCCTGGCCCCAGGCTGCTCCCACCCTGCTGCTCTGATATGGCACCCACGAGGGCTGCTCTGAATCCCTGTCCCCAAAGCACTGCAGCTGATTCCCTCTAGCCATGGGGCAGTGACCCAACAGGACCCTGGGGATGAGTGTCTGTCCCTGTGTCCTGTCCTGGGGGGGATGGATGCAATAGGAAGCCATCTCCAGCAGCATGTCAGGGCAACAACCAGACCCCCAGCACGCTGCCATGGGGCTACACCACAGCCCATGGCAAATCTCAGCTGCTGCAGGACAATCCCCTGTGGCTGTCAGTGACAAATGGGCCAGCAATGGGCTGAGCCACAGCGGGCTGTGCCCTGCCCTGCCGCAACTCGCGCCTGCTCTGTAATTATCCCAAGCCGCATCTGTAATTAGTGTCCTGATGTCATGGGGTCAGGCCTGGGCAGCCCCACGCGCTCCCCGCCGCCCCCAC